ATATATATATATATATATATATATATATATATAAACAAAAGCGCAAATGGAGAGAGCAAACGAAAACCGTTTTCAAACCACATATACACATATATACTGTCCAGGACCCTTTCCTTCTCCTTTCGTATCATTCATTGATGTTCCATTTTGTGGTTATTCAAAAAGAATATTTCTTCCCATTTCCCATTATTCTATTAATTTTGTTGTTTATTCTTTGACGTTTTTTTCTTTTTGTTGATTCGTTTTCTCTTTCTATTTTTTTCTTTTTAAATCCCTTTCAACCCACACCCTCCTCCCACTCCTCTTTTTTTTTTTTCACAAATTTTGCATAAATGTTCCTCATTTTCATTTCAAAACAACGACAAAGACCTAACCGAGCAGTAAGACAGTATAATTTAAATAATAATTTAAACTAAAAAAAAAGTAACTTATTAGTATCAAAATAGGACAAATAAAATTTCCATGTCCCTTTCACCATCATAGTGCGACTTGTCCTATTGTGAAACGCCAACTGAAGCAGAAATCTGCACCAGCAAAAGCTTTTGAAACAGCGTTCAGAAACAGAATTAGACTCTACTGAAATGGAACTATAAGACAAAACAAACCAACCTAACAGAAAATGTTTATTGCAAATTTGTTGTTGCTCCTGTAAGAATGCACATAAATTCTATTAAACTGTCCGACAGCGTTAAATAGTTCAATTCAAAAAAAAAAAAATCCGAGTCTGACAAAAAAAACTGAGGCAAAACTGTGGAAACAAAGAGGAACTTAAATTGTTGCGGATGCTTTTTTTTTTTGTAAACAATTTCGTCACAACCTTTAAGTTTCAACTGCTTCCTGGATCTGTTTCTTCCTTCCGTCTTTTTCTTGGCCATTTTCCTGCTACATTTAAGAAAAGCAAAAAAATTTCTTTTCCTCTACCCCTCTTCAACGCAGTTTATACTAAACGAAACATTGTTTCCCCTTTTTTCTTGTTTTTCTAAAAACTGCTCCATGGTACTGCTGACCGCAGTTCCAATTGAATTGGAAATTTGCAAATAGTAAACACATACGGTATCCAAATTTGAAAATTTCAGATGTAAAAACTGTTCCCAGAATGTGCGGTACATGGGAATGAGACCATCAGTAAAGCTAATGGTATGAAAGATAAAGAAAGGTAAAGATATTCAGCAACTGTGCTTTATTAGGTATTTTCTTCAAATAACAGACGAGTCATAGTTAACAAACATGCTGGCCATTGTATTATCAGTGTATATATTGTGCGATACTTCTGAAACCTTCTCTGTTCAAATTTTTCAAACTATAAATAAAAGGTAGTATTTAAACTATAATTTTTGAATGTAGTACATCTTAATGCATAAAAAAATTAGACTAAATTTCTGAAGGATATCCGTCTATTAGCCAATAGAATAACACCAGACTTTGCTGGCCAGTTGTTCTTCAATTTTTTTTTGACGTATTTTTCAAATATAAAAAACTGTCTAGTAAACGTTTAACTGAATTATCCTGGTAATAAATTTATAAAAATAAATTAAGTAATATATTTTTAGACTTTTACACAGATATCCTCAGTAACACATTCCAGCGGAAGTGACCGGCGGAAATTGTTGCAACTATAACAGCTGATGTTTCTCACTTTGTCGCTACTAAAATGTGCAGTTTTGACGCAAAACTTCTCTGTTTTCTCGCAAACAAATTGAAACTTAAGTATGCTGGTCAAGCAAAACGACTCATCTCCATAAGAAGCATACAGTTCAAATTTACTATTTGGCTTTAAAAAATGCTATAAGCACGGCTGATACCAACAGCAGACTGTTTAGAATGTTAGTCATGCAAAATCCAGCCCCGATAGTACCAAGCTGTTCTGCAATTCTTATATCAAACTTACTTTTTTTTAACCCGT